AAATTAGCTTCCCTGGACCCGCCTACCAAGCTGGGCCCCCACCAGTGATTACAGGCTGTGATTTAATCCTCATGTCAGTCTTAAGGGGTGGACACTATGGTTACCCTTTTTTACAGAAGAAGAAACTGAGGCATAAGTGCTGTCCTGCCTCGGATCATGCAGCCTGAGGTCTCCGACCCTCCGGACACTGGCCTGAGGTCCCCCCCAAGCACCTGCCGGGTCCTGGGCAGAAAACAAATGAAGGCCTTTGGTCCTCGCCCTCGGCCCACCCTGGCCACCTCATCCTTGTCCCCACTCTACACCAGGGGGCCTTGTGCACCTGCGTGTGGACGACCCCACAAGCCCATCCAAGGTCCATTCCCACCTCCTTCCTGTCCAGCAACAGCCACCACCCGTCACCCCTCCATCCCAGGGGTGTGTCTGCCAGTCTGGGAGAAGGGCGTGCCTGGGAAGAGGCCTGCATGGACCCTGGGGTGGCCCTGCAGCCTGCTCACTGCTGGCTGGGACTTAGCTGGAGGGGGCGGCTGTTGGGGGTGGGGGCTGAAGCCCTGGCCTCAGGACAGGGTCCTGGCTGCCCTCTCTAAGCCACCTCCCAAACACTCCCCACTCCCACATCGCAGGCCCTTCCTCTGCCGCGCTCTCAGGTTTAGATGGCCACAGGTGAGGTGGGTGCTCCTGGAGGCTGAGACAGATGGGGCACTCGGGAGGGAAGACACCAGCCTTCTGGCTGCAGCCTGGGACCTCGCACTCAGCCAGGAGCTGTCCAAGGTCAAGGTCATGCTCTGCGGCCCTGACGGCCAAGTCCAGAGCTGGCCCTGGGGTCTCAGTCCAGCTGTCCCGGCAGAGCCAATCCACACAGGGCCCAGGTCTAGCCAGCTGCTGCTCCTTCCCTCCCGCTCAGCTTCCTGTGCTGGAGGGAGGCTGGGCTGGGCAGTGGGGTGGGGTGCTGGGCCTGGGATGGGTCCCACCATGCCTTGAAAGATGTCCAGAGCTCTGGGCGAGGCCCTCAGCCCCACCCACAGGCAGCTGGCTGTTCAGGGAACTGTTGGTGGGAACTGAGACATCGGAAAGTCCAACCCAGGCAGGTCAGCGCCCTCTCCCACCCGGCTGTGCTCAGGGCACGGAGGCCAGGGGCTGCCCAGGGCTGCCCTGTGCCCAGAGAGGTCAACAAGCTTGTCTATGCAGAGAGGAGAAAGACGTTTGCAGAAAGACGCAGAGAGCTAGTGCCTCAGAGAGGTCTTTTCTGGACCTCAGGAGCCCCGTCCTGTCCCTGTGACCCTGGCATAAAGTACGTTTTGCCTAGCGGAGCTCTGGGGGGTACAGCTGGCCGGGCCATGCACCCATGTCCTCAGCACATCGGCTCACACAGGCCTGCCCCCACAATTCTGTGCCTGAAGGTCTTCTCTGGCCTCCAGATCCCGCCTTGTCCAAGGAGAGGCCAGACGTGCAAGTGTCAAGGAATTAGGGGTGGGTGCACCCCGGCTCTCTCACCGTTCAGGTAGTACTGAGGGTACATTTGACACCTGCTCCCAACTCCAGCTGCAGTGTTAAGTGTCCCACGTCCCCCTCCCTGACAACACTTCTGAGATCACCTCGCAGATAAATCATCGCACCCAAATCCTTCCACCAGGATCTGCATCTGGGAGGACCCAGCCATGCTAGCACCAAGCCGCATTCGGGGAACGTGTGCCACCCGTGGTCCCCCCTGCCTGTCTCGGGAAGAGGCGCAGCTGCACCGCTACCACCGCCACCAGAGGGCCTACCTCCCGAGTACATGTCGAAGGAGTTCTGCTTCACCACCTTGCCCGTGGAGCCTAGGGAGAGAGCGCAGCGGTTAAGTCCTGTTAAATGCCTGTCATTTTGCAGAAAATGGCTACTTTGTCTCAGACGTTTTCAAAATACAAGGGGACTTCAAAAAGTGTGTGGGAAAATGGAATTAAAGTATGAGTTTATTTTGGTACAAACAACTGAAATCTATGCATAATTTGTTTCATAATTCCCATTTTCCTGAATGTTTTGCAGACCGCTGGCTTGATGTCAGGTCCTTAAAGAGCAGGCAGGCAGGACCGAAGGGGGCACTCACTGTCTGGCTAGTCTGAGAGGCACAGGGACAGAATGGGGAGCCCAGCATGGGGGTGGGTGGAAGGTGCCGAGCACAATTCCGGAACCGTATGGAAAGGCCTGGATTCAAGTCCTAGGTCAGCTTGACCATGTGGGCACACCTGCGTGTGCTCTTGATTCTGGCTGGCTGGAAGGCTCAGGGGAGGATTGTGGAGTGGTGAGACCCTGTGGAGGGTACCCCTCTCTCTCAACAAACAGACAAAAACAAGCCAAGAAAAAAGAAAAATAGAGAGTCGCAGTTCTCACTGTTCGCCACTAGATGGGAGTGTTGCAGAGGGCATGGCGGCTCTGCAGCTTCCCGAGGGTGGGGACGGGCCTGGGTAATGGGGACTCTTCCTGTGACCTGGGCCACCTGGGGGGGGGGAGGGGGGACTGTCCTCCCCGGTTCACAGAGCCATGCGGCATCTGGAAGGGAGCCGGGTCTATAAACCCCTAAAACTTCTTTTCTGATTGCGTGCTTCTGCGGATTTTTCTGGAAATGGGGGTTGGACATGGTTTCTTTTCAGGTTTCTCAAAGGAGTCTCTGCCCTGCTGGACGGTCAAGAGCTGCCGGCTCCTTTGCTGTTCGGGAGGACCCTGAGGCCTCGAGATAACTCGGGGGATGTCCCCACAGCTGGCATGCAGTAGGTGCCATACACATGCTTGGGGACATTTCTTGTCTAGGGAGATGGTTCAGCCGGATGTTAGGACGTAGAGACAGCCAGATTCTGGTTCAAATCTGGATGATTCTGTGGCCTGTTGCTGAGCAACCCCGAGCAAGTTGCTTAACCTCTCTGGGCTTCCAGTTCTTACCTAGAACATGGGGCTATCCAGCACAGCTTGCAGCGCAGAGGTGAGGTAAAAAGAAATAGCACACAGCAGGTGCTCAGTGAACACTGGTGCTTACCCTCCTTGGTGGAGACTTTGTCTTAGCCTTGTGAGAGGCAGGGGAGGAGGCTATTCAATGAGGTTTTCTCAGTCTGTGGCGCCTCTGGGGGAAGAGAAGCTGCAGAGGCCACTTCCCGCCCTCTCCGAGAGGGAGACGGGGTGGGGTGGCTGAGGCCCCTGCGGTGTTCTGGGGTCTTCCTTGCTCAGCGATGCTCCCAGACGCCCTCTCTACAGGAAGGGGCGGCCGCCCTGCAGCCACACTTCTGGGAGCCCTCATGGTGACAGCAGGGCCCTGCCGCAGTGTCCTGTCTCTCCTGCCCCTTCCTGAGCTCCAGGCTGTCCTCTGACTCCAGGTCTGACTGGGCAGGGCCCTGCTCCAGGCCTTGACCTCGCCCCCCGACCCAGCAGGGCTTCTCGGCAGAGGGAAACACTCCTAGGAGCCGACTGCAGGGGCGCATCTGTCTGGCACTTGTGAAGCGTGGCAAGACCACACTGGAGCTTGGCGGTTCCCTTCCCAGCAACCTTTGCATCCTTGTTCCCACCCACCCTGACCTTTGTCCCAGGAAATAGCCCTAATGTCAGAAAAATGGCCCTTCTTCCCTATGAGCAGAGGCAGAGAGGGGGTCTTGGCTGGGGCCAGACCACCTGGTTCTTAGCCGACCCTGTCAATTCAGCCCCTCCAGAACCCTGTCCGTCCCTCAGGCTCGGCTGCCCGTTGGCCTCCTGCTTATCCCCCACTGGATGCAGGCCTGTCAAGGTGGATCTCCCTGCCTCCTGCCTCCTGCCTCCCCACCAAGCCTAGAAGGGGTCTCTGGAATGCAGAGCTGGCCTTCATGCCCCGCTCAGATAGCTCCCTACTGCTCTCGGCTTCTCAGTAGACACGCAGCTCCTCATCCCTGACCCTGCTGGCCTCCCCAGCCTGGCCTCTGCCCTGCCTGCTTCTGGGCTCCAGCCAGACCCTGTGTTGCCGCGTAAGCCCCCTCCTCCCTCCGCCTTCCCTACTCCCCACGTGGTGGGTGCAGTCTGGGGTGGATGGGCCACTCACCGTTCACCACGGCCAGGTTCAGGCCTCTGCCCACGTTGTTTTTCACAGAACTCATGATCCTGAAGAAGAACCAGATGCAGCTGTGAGCTGGCAGGGGCCGGGAACTGCCCGTAGCCCCAGGCTCCCCCAGGCCACGTGGCCGGGCACAGCGGCGTCAGTGGCACGACTTCGGCCCTCCGTCTTCTCCTGGAACTAGTGGCAGGCTGGGGACCCCAGAGTCTCTCATGGCCTGTTTGGGCCACAACAGTCAGGGAAGGGGCCAGGGTCCTGCTGGGCTCTGGTGCCAGGTGGTGCCACCCCACCTCCCTAGGCAGTGAGGAAGGCAGAGCCGAGGAAGCTGCTGCCGTCCTGGGGTGTCAGGGTCCCCATGAGGAACACCTCTGTGCTCCCCCGGCCCAGCAGCCACGCCCCTGCCTTCTGGTGCTCACAGGACACCTGTTCTCCTCCCCTGGTGGTTCCTGGGGCTCACCTCTCCTCCCAGGCCTGGACAAGCACAGCCAGGCCCCAGAGACAGGGCTGGACATGGCCCTGTGACTCAGGCCGGCCACCGTGACTTTTGCAGGGCTAATTCAGACAAGAAGACCTCCTCCCAGGGGTGCAAGGCCAGGCTAACATGTCACACTAGCTTGAAGCCTCTCTCCTTGACCACGAGAAGCCCATTTTCCCTTAGAGAAAAACAAAACTAACAGAAGAAAGTGGAACCGAGGACAGAGCAAGAGGGAGGCTGATGACATGACATGAGCCCCTGGATCCAGATGGTCCTGAAGCCCACTCCCCTGGCTGTTCATGGTCATGAGCCTGTAAGCTCCTTGTCTTCCTGAGCAGTGGGGATGGGGTCTGGAGGGGACCCCATCTGAGCCTGTCTTCTTTATAGGGAGACCATAGTGGCTGACTTCCCGGGGCCCTGCGGGAGCGAATGAGATGGCGCTCCTCAAGGTGCTGCAGACCCAGGGCTGTTGGGACCGTTATCTGTGACTCGCACGGCCCCAACGAGGAGCCACCCAGGAGAGAGGTGGACTGGTCTCAGGACCGCCCCGCAGCCTCTGAATTTCCTAATGAATGAATGAATGAGGAAGGCAATAATAAAAAATAAAAAGAGGAGCCAGCAGATGGCATAGCGGTTACGTCGCTGGACTCCCACATCGCGGTTCAAGTCCTGGACTCAGTGACTTGAAACTCACACCAGACGCGTGTGCCTGCGTGCCCAAGATCCCGGGAGGAGAATGGAGGAGAAGGGATTGCGGTGTGGCCATCCTCCCATGGGAATGATTTTTCACTTTTCCTCTCACTGTCTCTGGTGCTCTCTGGAGAGCTGAGCACACGTACCCTAAGGAAAAAAATCTCTAAAAGAATAAAGAACCATGGTGCTCCTCAGGTACTTACGTGTGGTTTTCAAAGCACATGGACGGGCCCACGACGTTGGCGGCCCCGCTGTAGATCTTAAATGCAAAGAAGTTTTCTGGGCAGGGCTCGCTGAGGCCGCACTTGGTCGCTGGGACCCCTGGGGAGAGACAGAGCAGCCCAGTGGGGAAGGAGCTCAGGAGGGTGGGAACGGGCCTGGGCCTGGGCCCGGCCATGGAGCTGGCTCAGGACAAGCTCAGAAACTGCTTCCGGGAGCCACTCTCGCTGACCACCTACCCCTGGAGAGATGTCCCCTTCTGTCCCCTCCAGTGACCCTGCCAAGGCACACAGGCTGCTGGCTGTGTCTGAACCAACCCTCCGAGTTAATTTGGGGCTTCCCGTCCCACGCCCAGCCCCAGCCCCGGGCCCTCAGGAATGAGTGGTGGTGAGTAACTGGAGTCACCAGGATGAGGGGTTTCTCTCGAGAACCTCTCGGTGGGGCCACAGCGGCCAAAGGAGCTCCCAGAGGCTCCTGTCCACAACCTCTTGGGGGCCCCGCCTGGTGGCTGGGAGCCTCCCTCTGGCTGGGTTCCCTGGGGAAAGGCTTCAGCCTCCTTGGGCCTCATCTGCCTCCTCTGTAGAATGCGAGGAACACAGGAGTGTGGGTTAGTGCTCGGTGCACACTGGCTCTCCTCTGTTCTTCGCGGATCGTTTACTGAGCACCTTGTGTGCGTCAGACCCGGGGACAGAACAGGGAACGGACAGGGTTCCCGCCCGAGGGGGCTCCGCAGGTGCTTGAAATCCCCGGGCTCTCTGTGACGTGCCTCTGATGCCCGAGGTTGGTGCGAAGACCCACCATCTCTCCCCACATGGCCCTCGCAGATGGGACCTCAAGACACAGGTGCGGAGGGGCCTAGCCCTCAGCAGGTTCTTGGCGAGCTGGGACACCCATACTTCCAGCCTGGCTGGCTCTAATTTCTACAAGGGCATGCTTTATGGCACCACCGGATGGGTCGAAGGCTGCCTAGGGAGGGCTGGGTATCTTGGGTCAGAGAATGTTCACCTGTGGATGGAAGGTGGAGACTGGGTGGCCCTCCGTCCCCCAGCCACCATGCCAGGCATCCGTCCAAACTCTGCCATGTGTGCTCCGGAAGACACTAAGGCCCTGCTGGGTGCTAGGCACTGTGACAAGCCCTTTCTACTCATTATCTAGTGAAACTGTCCCGGTGACCCCAGGCCTGGCACACAGTGGGTGCTCAGTAAGTCTTCGTTAGATGAATACCCAGAGCACGAGAGTCAGACTGCACCTTGAGGCTGGGACAGACGATATAGTCAAGGGATTAGGGTCTCTGGGGCCCTTGCTGGTTTATGGGCTTATTTTAGGGGAATCCGAAAACACGTCCCTCTGGTGCGAGCAGATAACGATGTTTCTTCTGGAGTGGAGCCGCCCACAGAGGGCCCCGTGCTGGGTTTGGTTCCCTGGGCTGGGCGGCTTACCTCCCTCTCGCATTTCAGCACAGCCGCCCGTTGGGTGAGCCTGAGCTCAGAGCAGGACACTGTCACCCTCCAGGGGCTGTTGAGAGAGAGTGGGCATCCCGGCCTGCAGCTGGGCTGGGTGTGACTCGATGCTCCATCTCTTCCCTCTGGGCAGGCTCTGTGAGAGGCCCAGGCCTGGCCCGTGGTTGGCTGGAGAGCGATGCAGGGGAGGGAGCCTCAGTCTGGGCAGTCTCTTCCTTTTTTTTGAGCCTGACCACTGGCCCACCCTCCCAACAGCGAGGCCACTTTACTCAGGAGACCAGAGCTTCTCACCTCTGCAGAAAAGGAGGATTATTCCCGAGGGACCACCCTTGGAGTCGGCCTAGAGCCTAATCAACTGCAGCTAAGTCCGATAAACCGGGTGTCAACAGACCAGCTTAAGCAGGCTTTTCCGAAATTGATTTTCTGACCATCCAGTCTTCACGGTCACGCTGCTGCACGAAGGGAGATGTTGCCCAGGGGCTCTTGGGCTCTCAGCCGCTGACAGGCGGGATTTACCCTTGGGTTCTGGCTTAGGGGGCCATCCTCACCAGCTGCCACGAGCCCCGAGACCCAACCCCCGGGATCCCTGGTGCCATGGTACAGGGCACGGAGCCGCCATGCTGTCAGTAGCATGGGGGTGGGGAGTGCAGTCAGGCAATGTGGGTTGGTCCTCCATTAAGCTGCTGCGTGACTTGCCAGAAATCTCTCCCTGTATCTTTGCCAACTGTGAAGTCAGGGAGTTGGGTTAGATCAGGGTTGTCAAGGAGGTTTTCTCTTAATTGTCAGTTTGAGACATGTTAAAGCTCTCAGAGCTGTCCGAGGGCTTGGAGAGAGAGAATGCTGTGATTGATTGGTGATGTCTGCCATGGGAGTGGGCAGGAAGGAAAGCGGCGTGTGAACCTGCCATGCAGATGGTGCTTAAGCGTTTGTTCAGCACCAAGATGCTATCATACTCGGTCTGCTTCAGAATATGACTGGGGTGGGGGGCTTCAGGGAGGTGGGCTGAGGGTGTGAGGTGAATGGTGTCGATTCCTACAGTCTTTGCTCTCGTAACCCCATAGCGTCCTGGAGCTCCCATGCTCCTCTTCCCTGGGTCACACCCGACTGCAGGCGCTGCAGCCCTGTTTAGGGAGTTTCCACTATGTTGGCGTGGAGGGGTGTTGCCTCTTGCAAAGAGGTGTTGAGAGGTGAGGGCCAAACTAAAGCGGGTGGGGGTGGACTCCTGCTCCACTACTGTTAGCTGCGTGACCTCGGCCACCACGTCTCACCTCCCTGAGCCTCGGTTTCCTCAGCTCCGGTTGTAGCACCTACATAGGGTTGTCTGAAGGATTCATGAGATGCCCATGACCTTCTGAGCAGTGTGGCACATACGGGCCTTGGCCACTTCCGATTGTCGTTGTCACAACTACCCCCCTCCCCCCCCCCACCTTCTCTTCCCCTCGGGAGCCCGGGTCCTCGCGGAAGCTCGTTTAGACACCTGCCCGCCATGGACCCACCAGGCCCTCGGCACTGCTGCCCTCCCAGAGCTCCCTCCTCCTGCCAGGCTCTGACTCTCCAGCCAAGGTCTCCTGGAGCCGCACACGTACCCATCTCGAGGCCTTTGCATAGCTGTTCTCTCCTCCAGCAGGCACAGCTGAAAGGCCACCTCCTCCTTGAAGCCTTCCCTGCCCCTTTCAGAGCACTTTCTCCAGCACTCTTGCACGTTTGGGATTGACCACACAGAAAGCCGGCACGCTCTTTGTCTCTGGAGGCCCTGGCCTTGCCCTGCATGGGCTCTGGCACTTCGGAGCAGGAACCCTGAGTCCAGCCTAGGTCACTGCCACAGTGATAAGGAGCACTGGCCCCTGCCCTCGGGGCTTACTGGTGTGGGAGCTGGGGCAGAGCACGGTCCAGATCACAGGGGTGGGGGTCCTGGGGAAGGAGTGAGTGAGCCATCCCTACCAGTCTGAAAGGCGAGAGAGGCACCCCAGTCACAGGGCTCGGTGCTTCCAGAGGAACCCCTGAGCCAGTGGGGGACAGTGCAGGGCAGACTAGAGACCCCTGGTTCCTCTGGGACCTGCCATGTCAGGGATCTTGCCCTGAGGGTCGGGGGGCTGGGTAGATACTCACGGGTCTCCGTGGGGGTCCAGCCTGCAGGAGGGAAGACAGACTTAGGTTAGGGAGAGAGCGCTTCGGACCCTGTAGGGGACGGCTGGGGGCTGGGGTGGTGGTGGGAAGGAGCGACTATTTATTTATTTATTTATTTATTTAGAGGTTTTTGCTATAGGACACGTGCGCTCGCCAGAAAAAGAGAGATAGAGAGACAGAAAGTGAGAAATCACCCCCCGGGGGGATGGCCATGCCACAATCCCTTCTCCTCCATTCTCCTCTCGGGATCTTGTGTATACACATCCATGTGCCTGGTGTGATTTTAAGCCACCAGGTCCTGGACTCAAACCGTGGTCAGCTACACGGGAGTCCAGCAACATAGCCATTATGCCAACTGCTGGTTCCGGGAAGGAGCGACTTTAAAATGGCACTACTAAGATGGACAAAAGTCCCACTGCATCTGGACTCTTCACTCACTGCTGTTACTCCTTCACACACATGCACAATGCACACATGCACACATGCAGGCATGTACAAGAACATAGGTATATACACACAGAGATACAAATATGCACACATGCACGGACACACACGTGGTGCCACACATGCTCATGCACAGACGCGCAGGTGTGCCCTCAAACAAATGCAGACACGCTTGTATGCACACACACACACACAACTCTGACACGGCTGAAAAGAAGTGGCTGTGCTGTGGACCCACTGGAGCCTGAGCCCCGCTCCCAGTGCGTGACTGGGTGTGACTTAACCTCCGGCCCGCAGTCTCCTTGACCGCACGTGTAGACCATCGAGGCCGCTTTGACCCACTCTGGGGAGGATCCTGTGAGGTCAGTCTGTGAGGGGCCTGGCCCAGTGAGTGGCCCAGGAACCCCGTGTTGCATTGCTGTTGTTGGTTCAGCCCGTGTTGGGGTGTCTCGTTCTCAATCCCACACAGCATCAGCTGTGCGCTGGGTTGAGGGCCCTGGTCACATCCGGACCTCATATTCCTGTCCTGGCTGGTTCTATGGCTCTCTGCAAGGTCTCCCCCTAGTCAAGAGGTAGGTCCTAGAGAACAGGGCCCCCACGAGACAGACACAGAGCTGCTGGGAGGGAGCTCTCTCTCTTTGGGGGATCCCCACACTTACACACTTCCCATCTGTCCATCATGGAGTGTCCCCACCCCCTGCCTCCAAGGTCCCAGGAGTGGCATGTGACCCAGGCTGGGCCAATCATGGCAGTACGTTCCCTGGGGACAGGGCCTTTCCCTGGGCTGATCCATGGCCTGGAAGTGACAGAGAAGGTTCCTTTTCCAGCCAAGTCTGGAGAGCCGGTAGCCGCTGAGCCTGCCTGGGGGAAGAAACTGTCCACAGAAGTAGGTTCCAACCTACTGAAGGAAAGTAGCAACAGGAAGAGCCCCAAAATATAAAGGGGCAGGTTGTGAGTGACTGGAGGGGGCCTGGATCCAGCCACACCTGAAGCCGGATGCCCATGGACTTCCCAATTACATGACTCAAAACATCCTATTTTGTTGAAACTATCTAGAGTTCACTTCATCACTCCTATCGGAAAGGATCCTGCCTAATTTGCCAAGTAAATCAGGAATTATATATATGTATATGTGTGTATATATATGTGTGTGTGTATACACACACACACACAGCCAGAAGGTGCATGTGCTCACCAGAGAGAGATTGAAAGAAGGGGAGGGAGAAAGCACCCCCAGTGGGGTGTGGTCATGCCACAATCCCTTCTCCTCCATCTTTCCCTCCTGTTGGGATTTTGGGCATGTCTGAGCATTTTTTTCAAGACATCAGGCATGGGGTTTAAACCATGTAGTCAGCCATCTGGAATCTGATTCCCTTAAGCACCAGGCTATGGGGCTGGCTTTGGGAGTTCTTAAGCTCCTGATTTCTGTGTCATGGATCCCCCTGGTCATCTGGAAAAGCCTAAGAACTGTCCTCAGAATAAATCTATTCCATGTCCCTTGAGACACTTAGCACACTTAACACTTGAAGATACTAAATACATCAAGTAAAACAGGCATGCTTACAGAGGAGGCCGATCGTGTGTCAGCATCATAACAGAAATGGAGAACTCAGTGCTGTCACACGGGGGGCCCTCCGTGCATGCATGGAGCAGTGAGTGGAGTAACGCTGAGGCAGATGTTGCCCCTCGGGGCTGGGGTGCTACTGCGCTCCAGGCCTTTCCGCCGGCTACGTCTCCTGCCGCGGTGAACAGTCCTGAGTCTGGACCATGTTAAGGGCTTTCGTGTTTGTATGTTCTGCAATCGAGTCTGTCTCTCTGCTTGGATCCCTGGGATCCCTGGGACCTAACACGGGGCAGGACCGACGGCCGTCACTTGATGACTTTTGGTTGGAGGTATTGATTGTCAAACCCCAAGTAGTGGAGTTTAGAGAGAGAAGAAACTTCCGGAGTCTCCTTTTCAATCACTGTCCCTCTCCCTCCTCAAGCTGGGGCTCGCTTCTCTAAGGGGCACCCCTGGCTCACGCTTCCCCTGCGCCTCCTACCATGACCCGGCCCATCTGCTCTGAGGTCAAGTCAGTCGTTGGTCTATGGAAGTAGTGGCCGTGGGTTGGGATATGGTGGCCACCGGGCAGCTATCTAAACCCTGCCACCCTGGGCCATGCGTCATAACTGGTAAGAAGCAGATGAGTAGGGATCTCGGATACCCCGCCGTGGGACTCTGTTAAAGGTGGGGTGACGTGCTGCCTGGGGGAGCTGTGAGCTACGTCTGAGGACACATTCCTCGTTCCTCTGAGCAGAAAGGAGTTGATGCTGGGATGCCTGGGTTTCCCTTCCTGTTCTGACATCTCCGAGGGGAACTGGGGCATGTTTTAAGATCTCCAGAGCTGCTGTCTTCTGAGATGGCATGTGAAATCACACCTGGGCACGCTTGGTTCCACACCCCAACCACGCTACAGATCACTCCACAGGTGCTGGTGCGGATGAACGAGATTATGTAGGTAAAGTATCCGGGATCCATCATCCACCCATCCTCTGTCCTCCTGTCCACATGTCCATCTGCCATCATTCCCTCATGCATACATGCACCTGTCCACCCACCCCTCTGCCCATCACCCATTCATCCTACCACCCAGTCGCCCACCCACATACCCATCCATCTACCCATCCAAATATCTAGCCATCTGTCACCCATCTATTGGGTCGTTGGAAAAGTCATGATGCATTTTTGCATAGAAAATCACAGAAAAAACACGTCATGACTTTTTGCCGGCTCAGTATCCAGCCATACGTACATAAGCGCCCACCCATCCATCCATTCATCATCCATCCATCTACCCTCCATTCATTCAGCCATCCAACCATTTTCCTCGCCGGGGACTAGAGAGATGGGTGTACACAAGACAATCTCGGCCTGCAGGAGTCTCATGTTCTAGGGCAGAGACAGCAAAAGCCAAAGAGACAACACGGTAGAGGATGACGGCGTCTGGAGGGAACAGGCCGACGGGGAGAAGCTGAAGTAGGAGGGTGTGCTGTTTGGGTGACCAGGGAAGGCCTCTGAGAAGGCGACACTTGAGCAGAGACCCAGAGGCTGAGAAGGAGCTAGACATGGAGGGCGGGTGGAGGGATGTGCAGAAAGGATGTCCCAGGAGAGGGAACTGCAGGGGTGCAGCCACACAGCACCTCCTCCCTCTGTCCTTCCTTCTCGGGGTCACCTTTCCAAAGTGGCCCTCGGGGGAGGTACACATGCTACCCAGAGCTTCGGGACTCGTCTCTGTTCCCCATAGGCTCCAGTCTTACAACCCAGGGGTCTCCTCTCTTATCTGCTCCCCTGAATAGCTGGAGTCCCAAAGGCAGGTCCACGCCTTCCCACGTCGGGCTGCCTCCTGACCGCCCAGGGATGGAGGGAGGAGTCTGTCCTGGGATGCACACCTGGCCCCCCAGTGAGCCCCACTCACTCAGCCAGCGAGGCAGACGGACGGTCTTCATGGTGGAGCTGACGTTGCTGCGGATGAAGATCAGCATGGCAGCCAGGGCGAAGATGAGGGCCAGGAGACGGAGCAGACCTGCAGAGCAGCACAGTCACCGGCCATGTGCAAGGCTGCGCGGGAGCCTTCCCACATCCCCATGGCCGGGCCACGTTGCGAGACCCACGTGGGTGGTACAGCCCACTCCGACTAGGGACTAGATCACAAGGGGGGACTGTGTGGTCCCTGTGGTGGCCCGTAGTGAGATCGTGCTGCCAGAACAGGCAACATTCCCCAAGGTGGGTCCCCGGGAGAAAGAGAGGTAAGCATGCACCTTCCTGGGCGCCACTCAGGCCTCCAGAGAGAGGATCTCTAGGACCAAGGCCTGGGAATCTGTGCTTCTACAGAAGCCCTTGAGCAAGGCCCGAGAGCTGCAGCAGGAGGCTGGCTCTGGGAGGGGAGGAGGCACAGAAGTCAGTAAGGCTGCCTCTGTGCTTAGGGGAGTCAGCCGTGCTGTGTGACCTCAGGCAGACACTCGGCCTCTCTGGGCGAGAGCCCTGGAGTGAATATGCTAACACCGTTGTCGGGAGGGATGATGTGGTTGTCACAGTAGGCAGCCTTCAGGGTGGCTTGTAGAGGGGGCTGGTCCCCCTAAAACCACAGATAACCAGACAATGCTCCTTACAGAGGCACACTAAACTTGCGCAGCTTCAAGCCAAGCCCCAGTGCCTGGCCACCTCTGACCCACAGCCAGACTGCTCCCCGACCCCCCACATCACTGCGAAGCACCCCACACCCAGGAATGGGCCACCAGGGCTCCCTTTCCTTATAGAGCAGTATGGGGGTACCCTCCTCATGCCCACCCCTGTGGCACAGGATTCTAGAACAGTCTCCCTGGAGGTGAATACTGTGCCCCTGATTTCCCGGCAGGGCCAGGTATTTCCAGATGGCTCCATCCCTAAGAATCCCACTGAGCAGGGCTGCTGTGCCCAGGTTTTGCCAGCCCCTCACCAGACAGGCGGCCTCTCCCATATCCAGGCCTGCCCTGGGTTGGTTTGCCCTGGCTTTCTGGCCCAATCTCTGAGAACAAATACAGCCCAGAGTGGGGGGCATGCCATCCCACAGCCCACCTCGGGCCCTATCAGTACCTGGTCCTACCTGACACTCTCATCCTGTCCAGGGGAGGGACGGCTCTGGGCCAGTGTCAGCCTGTGGGGAGAAGACCAAGGAGGAAATTGACACATGAGGCCTGACCACGAGCCACGCTGAAGCCTAGGAGCAGGAGCCTCGTTGGTGGGGTTCCTCGTCAGTGGGGGACCCTTCAGGGGTACCAGGGAGGGACTGTTCTTCTTCCCTTTTGCCTTCACCTCCCCTTTCCTCTTTCCCCTGGAATTTTATATTTAATTCACCATGTACTTTTTTAAAAAAGAATTATTTACTTAATTTTATTTATTATTAGTATTGTTTTAAAATTTGCTATAGGGCACATGGACTCACCAGAGAGAGACAGAGAGAGAGGAAGAAAGAGAGAGAGGGAAAGTGAGAAAGCAAGCTGCAAGGTCCGGGACTTGAACCCCAGTCAGTCATGTAGGAGCCCAGCACCTTAACTACCATGCCATCATGTACTTCTAAAAATAGTTTACTTTTTTATTTCCTCCAAGATGAGCGGAGACAGCATCCCCAACAGGCCCTTGACACTATGACCAGCCTGCGCCAGATCATGGGCACCCGCACACCCAGTGTACTCATGGAGGGTTCTGGATGCCAACCAGAACCGCCTTGCAGGGGTCAGTCTTGCGGAGTGTAGCGTTTTTACCAGGCGCCACTCTCTGGTCTCTTCACTATGTCTTTTTTCTTTTTCTTTCCTTTTCTTTTTCTTTTCTCTTCCTTTCTCTCTCTCTCTCTTTTTTTTTTTTTTTTTAGATTTTTGCTATAAGTCGTGTGAGCTCACCAGAGAGACAGACAGACAGATAGAAAGTGAGAACTCACATCCCAAGGGGGATGGCCATGATAAAATCCCTTCTCCACTCTCTTTTTGGGATCTTGGGCATACATGCACAAGTGCTTGGCATGAGTTTTAAGCTGCTGTGTCTGGGACTTGAACCGTGGTTGGCATGTAGAAGTCCAGCAACATAATGATTACATCATCTGCTGGTCCCATCACCCTGTCTTTCTAAGTGCAGAGTTTAGAAAGTAGAGGAAGGGGCAGTCTGGTCTCTTGTAGGATATGATTTATTCACTCAACCATCCATCTATTTGTTCATCAGTCTGCCCACTCATCCATCCTTTGATCAATTGACTGATCTAGTCATCCATCTGTCCTCCCATCCATCCATTCATCAACTGCCCATCCATTCATCCATCCATCTGCCCATCCAACCATCCATCCATCTGTCCATCCAACCATCCATCCATCTGCCCAACCATCCATCCATCTGCCCATCCAACCATCCATCTATCCATCTGCCCAAACATCCATCCATCCATTCATCAACTGCCCATTCATTCATCCATCTGCCCATCTATCCATCCATCCATCCATCCATCTGCCCAACCATCCATCCATCCATCTGCCCAACCATCCATCTATCCATCTGCCCAACCATCCATCTATCCATCTGCCCATCCATCTATCCACTTGTCCATCCATTCATCTTTCTATCCCTTCAGCCACACAGCCAAGAGATGTTGAGCCAGCTAGTGGCAGTGAAAGCACCAGGGAGCAGCAGCTTGAGCGACCTCCGTAGGTGTACCAAAGTGAAGAGTGATCAGACTTGCACATCACAGTGCATTTGTGCCAGCTGCTATACACACACTGTCTCGGCTAGTCCTCACAACCTCCACTTAGGGATGAGGAAGCACGACTCAGTAAGGTTAAACCCAGAGTTATTCAGCTTTCAAAGGTGAGAGTCAGATTTGGGTTGTAAGTCCCCAGCTGCCAAATTCCTGATGTCCCCTACAAGGTCCCACTGCTGATTCTTTGTCTCTGAGGAGAGTTGAAACCAAAGCTTCCACACTCCTGAGTCTGGGGCAGGGGCAGAGTCACCCTCTTCCCACCTCTCCCCTGTGTTGTCCCCCAGGTACTGTACGGTTATTAGGGGCCTTGGGCTTCCCAGAGTCCTCTCTTTAGGCCTTGGGCAGCGAGTGGCCTTCTCTGAGTAACTGCCCTCATCACTCATCGCCTCCTCCCCACCCCGGAATCTTCATCCTAGACATTCATCTCAACAGACAGTCTCCCGAGCCCAACAGCTGTGGCCCCAGACCTGGGGCAGGAGATCGAGACTGACTGCCTGGTTCTGCCCCTCACACCTCTTTGGCCCTGGGCAAGTCTGCCTCCGTGGGCCTCCCCATCTACACGCGGTGGCTGGAGCAGCCCTTAATGCCCACCCTGCACCGGCAACTGCTCCACCCGCGTCCTTTCGCGAACCATCGAAGTTCCCCTACGCCTGCCTGCGGCATGGTGGTTAAGGCAGCTGGATCCTGCATGGCTGACTGTGTGGTGGAGGAACAGACCTGGCTTGGAAAACACCCTGGGGCACGTGTGTGTGTGCCCTAAGTCCCGAGAGGAGGGAGAGGAGGAGAAGGGCCTGCGGCATGGCCACTCCCCATGGGGGGATGGGGGTGGGTGCACTTTCTCCTCTCTGTCTCTGTCTCTCTCTGGCAGTGCATGTGCCCTCTGGCAAATTAAAAAAAAAGAAATCCTCCCACCTTCCCTGACTCTGTTCCTTCAGGTCCTGCCATTAAAAACTGAGCTGTCACCAGTTCTAGCCACAGAGATGTCGATCTGTAACTTTCTGAAATTCAAATGACCAACTTCCTCTTTCAGACACGAAAGCGTATTCCAGTCTTGACTGTGCTCATGACATGACCCGGTGCAGACCCTGGATGAGACCTGAGGGACATTCCGTGGGTCCCCTGTGTGTGATGGAGCCAGGGGAGCTGGGACTGGACAGGATGGAAGGGCAGGGACAGAGTCAGACAGAGGGGAACAGACAGACATGAAAATTCACAGAAAGTGTGTGCACAGCGACAGAGCTGACCCCCACTCAGGGAGGGGACAGAGCGAGGGAGACATACAGAGAGAGGGAGACAGAGAGACAGAGGATGAGAAAGAGACAGACACATGCAGATTCAGAAACAGAGAGACAGTGACATTTAGAGACAGAGGAGAGTGGCAGGGACAGAGGACATTGGCAGGGGCAAGCCTCTCGCTGGCACGCCCCAGACTCTGGGCTTTAGGACAGGCTGGGCAGGGGCAGGGCTGGTCCTGGGCCCCCAGGGCTCTCCCAGACCAAGGTCCTCTGCCTGAGTCCCCGGCTACATATATAACACTCACAGGGGTCTCTGGTCTCCTGAGTCCCCAACCTGCTCACCCTGGGAGCCCCCAGGTGCCCTGGAGCTCGAACCCAGGACTGGTCCTGAACGGACAGAGGGAAAGACCCTGGAGACAGACACATGGGTGGGGAAGAATTTCCTCTGCCTGACACAGTTCCCTTCCCCTTGTTCCTGCTGGAGATGGTCTAACCTGTTATTCGGGTTCAAAACTGACCTTGCCCAACAAAGGCGGGAGGAGAAAGGGCCTTTGAATTCTGGCTTGGTGGCCCAGGCACAGATAAGTGCCCCCTGGTACTACCTGTTCACTGTGGGTGGGGCGGGGAGTGCAGAGGCAGGGCTGCTGCAGGCTGCCCCACTCCCCTCTGCCTGGAGAGCCTGCTATCTCCCCTCACTATCCTCGCACCTCTCCTTTGCCTGCCCTTCCCCCATCCTGCCCCTCCATGGCCCCTTCTGATTTTGGGGTGCAGGGCAGCCATGTGCACAAGCCCTGAACACACACACCTTTCTCTTCCGTGGCAGGCCTCCTCTCCTGAGGGCCCAGGGTGAGACTGAGCATCGAGGGAGTGCTTGATGATTATTTGGAGACTGAATGAACTGGGTTCTTGTGTAGTCCTATAAGGTCAGGAGGTTAACCAGAGAACCAAGCTGAAGTTCAGAGACTGCAAGTCATTTGCCTAAGGCCACACAGCTAACTGTGGATTTTATTCCTGAAGCCTTCCCCGTGCCTGTGGGAAGGAAGGCCAGGCAGCAGGCACGAGGGAGATGGCCGTGCACAACACACGTGTGCTCTGGAGCACCTGCTAGTCCCTCTGTGTGAGCACTGCTCCCCGCCTCCTTGCCTGGAATGCTCCTTACTTATCCTCCAGGCCTGTCTAGAAATCACTTTCTCTGAGAAACCTTCCCCGATCCTTCAAGTCAAGGTGGTCCTGGATGAGGGCCCATCCACCATGGCACTTCACTGTCACAGGAGGCTGGCCAATCAGAGCTTTTGTGATTTCCTCGTGATTGGTTCAGGGTAAGCATGTGACCCAGCGAACCAATCAGAGTGTTTCCTGGGATGGATATATGGACACTGGGGAGGGAGAAGCTCTTCAATTTTTTTTTTTTCAAATTAGTGCATAACAATTGCACATATTTATGGGGCATAGTTCAGTACATGATTATGATATGTAACGATGAAATCAGGGTGATTAGCATATCCATCATCTTAAACGTTATTGTTTTGTGTTGAGAACATGCAGAATCTTCTCTTCTAGCTAGTCTGAATTATACGAGTTATTGCTAGCAATAGTTACCTCTGTGCTACAGAAGACTAGAACTTGGTCCTCCTAGATGCTCCTTTCTGCCTGCTAACCCACATTTCTCCATTCCTCCCCTCCCAGCCTCGGGTGATCACTATTCCATTCATTACTTCTATGCAGTCTTTTTAAAAAGCTTCATTAATTTTTCCCATGAGCCAGCAAACTGGCACGAGAGCGGCAGCAGCCCTGACAGGGCCCGGATGCTGCCAGGCCAGGCTTCAGCAAGCCCTGGGTTACAGGCACACGTGTGCCCACTGCACGGTGGGTGCTCTCTAGATGCGAACCTGTAGCTTTCACATGTGTGTCGGCCTCGCAGAGGTCGGTGTTTCACCACACACCACTGTTGGCCCCGGAAGCTGACTGTGGCAGTGTCCACATGGGAGTGAGAACGCGTTGTTTTTCTCTTTTTGGGCCTGGCTTACTTCGCTTAACACCATGTCCTCAGAGCTCATCCACGTTGCCCTGGACGACAGGATTTAGACAGAGGCTCCTTCTTCCCTGGGATGTTGATCAAGCTGTTCTTAAGTCTGGGCTTACTGGGCTCCCTCCCTTCCTCAGCCACTGCAGTATGTC